GCTGAGGCACTCGAGCCACAGCCAAGACCTGATGGCTCAAGGAAGAGAATCCATGCACAGGTTCTGTGGATTGCCCACGTGGTGTGGAAGTGTGGAATAAACTCTGGGTTTTTTTGACACTGCCTTTATCTGAATTAGAGCAAGGGTGGCCTCTCTTTCAGAGTGCTGCAGGAGGTGGGTGTCTCTTGGAGTTGGTGGTTTTTGGGGGGATTGTTGTGGGTTTTTTTAGAAACTGTTTTCATGCTCAGATACCATCCCTAGAGTCTAGTTTATCCTGTGATGAGCATGAAGGTTTGTCTTGCAATGTTGAGTTACATGGATGTGTGTGGCTGGCCTTACTCCAGTTTCCTTATGCACAGCCGTGTGACATGGCTGTGTTCCGCTTCCCTGTGCTGGGGTGGTGCCAGACAGTCTGAGCTCACTCTTTATTGTGTCAGATCGACCTTATCAAATAGCTGGGAAGGGAATTCTGTTCCAGGTCAGCTGCTTTGGTAGAATGCTTGGGACAAAGCTTTGGGATAGATTGAGATGTGCTTTTTGTGATTTCATAGGGCACTTGTTCCGTCAAGTTTTGCAGTATCCAGCTGTGTCACTGATACACCTACATGAATAGGTATGTGCCAGTTCACCTGCCTGCTGAGACTGACCTGTGCCAAACTGGACCAAATTTTTTCGCTACTGAACACTCTGGGCAGTCTTAGCTGGTGCAAGCACAGGGCTTTTAATGTTTAGGACGTTGGTCTAATGGTAACCCTCAAGTCTGGTCATTGAGCAAGTTGAGACCCAGACCAACTTGTCAGATGCTGCCTTGTATTCCCAGTGCCTTTAGACAGAGCTCAAAACATCCCAGACTCCACTCATCTCCCTGCCTGTGCAGGTGTGTGTGTGAACAGGCTCTCCTGAGAGCAGGAAAGGAAAGGCAAGAAGCAAAACCTGGTTATTCTAAAGTAGATGAGGTGACTTTATTTTCAGAATCAGCTGTGCTTCAAGACACTTGCATGGTACTATCCCTGGAATTGCTCAAGGCCAGGCTGGATGGAGCTCTGAACAGCCTGGTCTAGTGGAAGATGTCCCTGCCCATGACAGCAGGATTGAAATGAGATAATCTTTAAGGTCCCTTCCAACCCAAAAAGTTTTGGGATTCTGTGACCTTTTCCTGAGGAACTTGGGGGGATTCCTTTATTTGGCTCTCAGAATGTGGTCCCTGAGTAGCATTTGGTATTGGAAATACTGAGTCCTTCCTTGTGCAAATTTAATGGAAACAGAAAACAATTGGTTTGAATGGTTGATTCAAACTCTCAGTAGCATGCAAGCTTGGTTGTAGTGCCTGACCAATCATTTGGTGTCACTGGAGTCCATAGTCTCTCCTTTTTCCTTTTCATCTTTCAATAAAAATTATTCTTACTGACTGTTTCTTCACATGGGAAAGCTGGAGACACAAGCTCTCATGACTGGCCTTGTGCTAAAATTTTGTGTCACTGATCCAGAGCTGTTGGCCAGGTGGGACCCAAGCTGTGCCTAAAGGAAAGGTTACCTCATGTTTCCTCCTTCCCTCCCCCAAAAGCTGCAGGCTGGGTTTGACCTGCATCCTTAACACTGACTACAACCAAGGCACACTGCTCCATTTTGGAGCTTTTTCACATTTCAAAACCCTCTTTTTAACTGATAGGGACTAAATAAGAATTAAATGTTCAATGCTGCTTGTAAGGAAATAAATTTTTAGCCTCAGCTTGTGCATTATAATGGTTGGATAAGCCATCAGATCCCTGCTGTTTGGCTAGTTTTACTCTTTTTTGAATTCCTTCTAAATCCAGGCACAGAAGAAACACATTTAAAAAAAAAAAAAAAAAAGAAGTTTGAGTTATTTCAAAGTGACTGCAATACTGCAATAACTGGGGTTTTTACCAAAAGAAGTTTGAGTTATTTCAAAGTGACTGCAATAACTGGGGTTTTTACCTTTTTTTTTTTTTTTTTTTTTTTTTTTTTTTTTTTTTTTTTACTTAATTCCTTCAGCTCCCCTTTTGCGGGTTGTTATTCCAACCACACAACACTCATGACAGAGTTTTCTGCTGGTGCAGTTTGAGAAGGCAGCACCACCTCTTCTTTTGGGTTTCAGGGTTGGCTGGGGTGTGGCGGAGTGTCCTCTCTCTCCAGGGCTGTGGTGCCATCATGTGGCCGTTCGCTCCCGTACAGGGCTCGGTGTCCGGAGCACAAAAAAGTGTGTCCCTCCAGGAACGCCGGCGGCTTCCACTTGCTTTTTTCTTTCTTACCCGTGTTGGAGTGTCTTGGCCCCTTCTTGGGCACGAGGCTGTTAGATCTGTGTTCCTAAAGCCTTGAGTGCCTGTCCTGTTTTATGGGAGTCAACTTGCATACCTTGGAATAACGTTGCATCTAAAAGGGATTCTGGATTCCCAGTTGCTTCCCAGCACAGCCCATGGGGGTAATGATGCATCCCAGGAATGCTTCAGTGCTTTTTCTTTTTTTTTATTTTTTTTTTATTTGTCTGCAGAGGAGGAAGTGATACCTGCTGGCTGGTACCTCTTCTGTTCACAGCCAGGTTTGGGTATGACTCGCAAGCTTCACTGCTTGAAGAAAAGTTGTTTTCCAAGAAAAGCTCCTGTCAGAATCCACCTTGCAGTTTGTCTTGAATATCTTGCTCTTTCCCAGGCAGCAGCTGCAGCCCAGCCCTTCAGGTTCTAGCTCAGCAGTAGGGTGTGGATTACCAAAGGACCATGGTCTGGTCAAATAGCTGGATACAGCACACCAGTTTTTTCCTCAGAGTACTGGGAACAAGGTGGTTCTGCAGTATCTAGCCTGGCTTGGAGCTTGGCAGTCATTTGGCACTAAAACAGGTTTGTAGTGGCTGCGTAGCTCAGAAATCTGGGTCTGCCCTCAGCAGATAAAATCTCTAATGGCACATCCTTTGCTGGCTCACTTTGGATCCTGATGTGGTTCTGGGGAGCCCTGGACAACAGTTGTGCTCCCCAGGCTGGGCAACACAGGGGAGTTGGTACGAACTGCTGGAGTGTCTGAGCCTGGTGCCGTGTTCTTGGGAGAAACATCACTGCTTCTTCCTCTGCCCTGTAAGTTCTGAGGGTGGAGGACAGTGTCTGGTTTATCTGGGGACACAAGGTTCACCATCCATGGAGGAGCAACAGAACTGACAAGCAGAGGGCCCTGTGCCAGCCGAGGACATCGCTTTTGATCAGCCATAACACTGCTTTTTATTCTCTGTGAGCCAACTAGCAAAAGCATTTAATCTCAACAGAGACAGTCCAGGGTGGGTCAGGAGTTTACAAATTTATCTGTTTGTACTTCTTTGCCCTGAAGTGACATCAGGCTTTTCCTGTTGGAAGAGTATTTCCAACTTGGTAAAATAATTGAGAAGAAAGCAGCTTGCCTCTCCTCTCCACTGGGCTCTTGGTAACTTATCCAGAAAGGGAGCTCTGAGGGCACAGAAGGGGGTTTAATATGCAATTTCCCTTTCTCTTCCCCATGTCAGGCTGAAACTTGCCAGTGAAAGTACTGCCACATCCAGTTCTGAAGTGCTTTTCCAGTGTGTGTGTAGTGGCTGCTCAGGAAGAATGTGACTTTCTTCTGGGACTTGGGGGTATAGGAAGGTTCCCCACAAACAAGGGGTGCAGTTTGTGGTATGGAGAGGACTGATCTGCTGTCAGCTCCCTGAGCAGGATCCATCTCAGTGGGTAGTTGCTGGCATATGTGAGGCTGCTGCATCCTGCAGTGGTGCTTCTGTGGAAGTTGCCCACCACTGCAGAGCCTCAGCCCACTGAAGGATGGATGGCCCCACACAGGTCTGGGTGGAACAGGTTGTTGTGTTATTTACACAGACTGAGATCAAACACCCTGTGCAGAGACTTGTAAAACCTATAAAGCTTGTTGAGAGCTCTCCCACCTGCAGGGAAGGGTCAGCCCTCCACTCCTGCCTTACCTGGAGCCATTGGAGCAGCATCTTTGTGAGAGGCTGCCAGGGCTGAGTGCTGGGCCTGGGGCTGTGTCCTTGAGTCTGATGTTTTACTTGCTGGCAGTAACCAGCTCAGGTTAAGATTCTGCCTGACAGTGGGAAGCCTGGTCACTGCCTTGCCTGTGCCTACCCAAACTGGTGATACCAGACTGGAGGAGGCTGCCCTGTCTCCCTGCACCTGCCACGAGGCAGGTCAGCACCAACAGACTGTCACTGCTGGAGACAGGAGGATGAGAAACTGTCCCTGGTCCCAAATTGACACAACCTGGGCCACTGTGAGGAAAGCTTGAGGGTTTGTGTTAGAGCACACTAATTCTTGGCTCACCATGTTGGGTCCTATTGAGGATCCTGGAGCACAGAGGACATTGGCTACACATGACAGTGAGCACATGATCTGCTCATGGAACTTGGGGTGTGTGGAACATCCACAATCCTACATGAGTAGCTAGCTGTTCCCTGAATTTGGGGGAGGATGTGACATGTGAGGTGTGGCATTTGGCTGTCTGCTAAAGGAAATCCTCTCTCACAGGGGAGGTTTGGCAATGCTGATTGCTAAATGATGGGGGCACAGTGAAAGGGGGGAATGTCTCAAAGCAGGGCTGTGAGGTGAGGAAAACATGGGGACACCTGTATCCTGAGGTGGCACAGCAAGCAGTATGGCCACTGGATAACATGTGGAAATTGGGTGGGGCCTTTCTAAACTTTAAGCCTTCACCTCAAAATCATCATCATCAGGATCCTCAACAAGTTGATGCATCGAGCCGGACACGTTGGGGTCCGGGGGGGGAGTGAAATGCTGATTTGGAAAGCTCTATGCTCACCAGAGGCTGCATTCTGGTTATGGCCTTGTGGTCTTAGTTAAAATGGGAGCTGCTCTGAACTGGGGACTCTTCTGGGGTTGTTTTTCTTGTTCTTCTTCTTACAGGAAATCTCGTGTGTCTACAAAATGAAATCCTCTCACTTGACGAGGTCACAGGGTGCTGGCCCACAGCCAGGCACGGGGTTCCTCCACTGCTCTGCCTGTTCCTCCCTGTGAGCCCATCGCTTCCCCCCGGACACTCCTCCTGCATGAATTTCTGTGTGCTGCGAGGAGAGGCCTGGATCTGCTCCTCTCAGTGTCCAGTTTGTGCTACGCTTTGAGAGGGCCAGTATCGTCTTAAGACCTGCTGCAGCCTCCGAATATAAACCCCCCTTTGTTGGGGAGAGGTTGACTTGACTGAGCCGCATGATCAGAGTCAGGTGACAAAATTGGGCATGAAAGCAGAGGAGAATGAGCAGTTGGGTGAGGGCATGAGCTGCTGATCTTGCCTTTTGACAAGCTGCTTTACTGCTCAGGGAAAAATGAGTGCCTGGCCCTCTCCTCTGCTTTGGAGCTTGACCACGGCGTGTTTAACAGGTAAGTCCTCCCGACGTGGAGTTCCTGTTTGCAGGCTGAGCACGGAGCTGGGTAAAGCCATAATGGGATTGTGAAAGCACTGGGCTTCACTGAGTCGGGGTGCTGCAGCTGGCAGGGCAAGGGGGGAAGGCAGGAAAGGAAATAAGTGTTAAATGATAGGCAGTGTTGGAAGTGGGGTGAATACGGTAAATGTAAAACCTTGCTTTTATAAGAAGAAAAAAAAAAAAGGAAAAATAGAGCTGTATTACTCTGCGTATTGAGGACTTGCAGGGGCCTCTTCGTGGCTTTATCTTAAACCCTAAGGAACAGGATGCCTGCCTGTAGGGTGGGAAGGATCACCTCTGTAACCTACCCTGACGTCCCCAAGGCTATTTGAGGCATCACACGTAAAATGACCAATCCTTCAAGTATCCCTGGAGGTACTTTGGTTGATTCACAGTGCTCCTAAAAAAAAAAAAAAGGCTCTAGAAATCAAAATTGCTGCTCCCTGGAAGAGACAATATAAGAGCAGGACAGGAAATGGTTTGTCTGATGAAGCTGAGGTTGTCTGAGTATTGTTTTTTCACACCTGTGACACTATAACTCGTAAAACAAACACACACACTTTATTAGATGCTCCAAACTAGTTTTTTTCAGTCGGCTGACTTCTTTTTTTTTTCTCCAGAAGTTGTTAAAATTAATGTAAAAAGTGCTGGCTACTGGAGGCTGTTGATGGCTACTGAAGTTTTGCGAGCAACTCTTTACTGTTTTAGTAAAGAAATTATTATCAAAGAGTATTTTCAGTTAAAGAAACAATGCATCTTAACAGTACCACCATTTAACACCAGAACCAACCAAACAATGAAAGCTTACATATTCAACTAAAAACCCAAACAACAACAAAATTCACCTCGTTAATGGTAGTCCAAGGTGTTCAAACCCCTGCAGTCTCTGGCTGGCAGAGCTGAGCTGATGGGTAGGGCTGCTCTGTGGGAGATCAGACTGTGATCCCAGCAGTCTGGGAGGTTTTTCCGGGAAAACTGGACAGTGACTTAGTGGTAGTGTTTACCATTAGTTTAATGAATCTTGGGGCTGACTCAGTTCGTTGCCAGAGGCAAGGAAATAGCAGCAGACTGGCTTCAGCCCTTAAGGCAGGGGAGTCAGATGACAGGAATTGTGCACCTCAGTCCTGGGTGGAGGCATGGCCACGGTAGAAGTATCCTCTCTGGGCACTGTGGAGCTGCTCTTCTTGCCTAGGACCAATGCTGGCACTTCCAGGTCACTTGGATTTGAGCCTGGGGCAGATCAATATCCCACAAAATGATCTCTGCTTTAGGGCTACAGCAAAAAAGTGGGCAGTGGCCCAGACAGCTGGGTGTTCATCTGCTTTACTCAGTAGTTGCACAAAGATGGGCTTTAGCACTTGGTGAAGCACAAAGCAGGCATTTCAACAGGAGGGAGCATTCCCATCAAACTCTCTCCACGTGATCTCAGCTTTCTAAGGACTCTTCTGTGCAGTGTCCTGATCTTGCTGTAGAAATTTAATTGGAGTTATCATCAGCTTGGTCTGCATGTTGTTGTTGTTCATACCATGGTGGTTCTAAGCACTGGTACCTGTAGTGCCTGGCCTTGCGTGGACAAAGTTGAGGGACAAATCAAAGGCTGGGGGTGAAGTAGGGTTGGGGAAAAGCCTTCAGGGACTGTGGGTCTGCAGCTGCCTGGCCCTTGTGCTGTCACCCCTCTTCTCACCTTCCTCAACCTACATCCCCCTGTTTGGTGTCAGCTGCAGTTTTGGAGCTTCTTGAAACCCGTAAACTGATTTCTTAAGATAGTCCTTTTGCTTTCCATGCCAAGGGGCACTCAGTTGTGTGGGGGTTTAGCACATGTGTGCTGGTTGGAAGAGCATGTTCACATGGTATCAGCCCTGGTCTCATACTGGTGCTGTATAAGGTTGGATGTTTTCAGAAGCTGCAGTTGCTACTAAGTAAATCCCTGCCCTGAGTTCCTGACCCCAGCTGATGGGGCTGACTGACCTCAGTTGCTGTGGCAGGAGCTGCCTGTTTTGGTTCTGCTTTGCTTCCTTTGCTTAGTACCACACTACTAAAGTAAAACCCAAGCTGTTTAATTTCATGGGTCTCTCCTCTGTTCAGAAACTGGAAGATGTCCCCCATGCCTGTGACAAGAGATGGCTTCCATGAGCAGAAGACATTTCAGTCCACCACATATCATGGCAAAACAACTTGAGCTGCAGTAACATCTCCTTTCTCTGCAGATTACAGCTATCCTCTCTCTAGTGGGGGATTTCAGAATCAAAGCAAGTCTTGGCCTGCAGGTTCCCTTCTGGCTACTGGATATATCTCTAGACAGTTTTAAAAGATCCCAAACCCATGACTTTTCTTGGCTGATCCATTTAAGGGAGAAGGGATAAAACAGCCAGCTACTTGACAAGCATCTTAAATCAGATTGTCATGAGCTCTCAGTGTAAACTGTCTCAAGGAGCTAACCAGACTGAGTGCTTCTGGCAGTTCTCACACCCTTTTATCTGGGAGAGTCAGGCCTCCTGGACATTGGTATCTACTTAGTTTGTGGCCTCATGGACCCATTAATTTAGCTCCTTGATAAGTCTCTTGTGTGCCAGGGATGCTCAGATGCTGACTCAGATCCTTGCTCTGTAGTGAATCACAGCAGATGGGAGCTTCTGGATGTCAGACAAGGACACATGGTTTAAGTAGTTGATAAAGACCTAATGGGAAGCCACCAACCGAGGGAGAACAATAATTTTGCCACTTCTTATGTTTTTTTTCTTCTCTTAGGTATTGCTTTAGGCCAGACAATCAGCACTGAGGTTTCTATTGCATCAACACCAGTGCCTCCCAGTACACCCAGCACTGAGGTCCCTATTGCATCAAGCCCAGCATCTCCCAGTGCAAGCACCACTGCAGCCTCTGCTCCCCCAGCTGCCACTGCTGGATTGGCATCAACCGCTGCAAACCTTGTATCGTCCACAGCAGCTCCATCTGCTGATCCAAGCACCATAACCCCTGCTCAGGCTCTGCCCACCACCACAGATGTGACCATCCTCAGCTCTGGCAGCACAGCTGCCTCTCGAGTACCTACAGGACCAGTGGGTGCATCTGCTGGTGCCTCAACGTCCCCTCCAGGAGTGGCCACGTCTCCCGGGGTCCCGTCGGCAGCTCCGTCCCTCACCACCCCTCAGCCCTCCAACTGCAGCAGAGTGAACGTGACAGCCTGTTCCTCCTGCCCCCCAGGGACATTCCCCAACGAAGGTAAGAGTCCCTGCTCGCCCTGGATCCCGTGTGAGATGGAAAAGTGACTTGTCAGGGGAGGTGACACCAGCACGTGTTCTTATGTTGGAAACTTGGACAGGCAGCAGGAGAGGGAGATAATTCATCGCACCTTTCTGACATTAAAGACTTGGCCTTCTCTGGCCTTGTGCTGTTGGTCTTCCCGAGGCTTCCCAGTGGGATGACAAAGCAAAGGATTGTGGCACAAAATGTAACACAAGTGTAACTCGATTTATCGGGAGAAAGATGTTATTTTTAGATACATTGCCAAATACAAGGTCAGCTTCCAGCTGTCTTGAATGTTTGAAAGAGAATCTCTGCTACAGAAACAGCCTTTTCCCTTGGGCTTGAGAAAATACTTGATCAACTTCTGTTGTGGTCGGGAGTGCATAATATTACCTTTTCCAGAAGTTATTTATGTTGTAACATGGTTGGGTTTTGTTTTCAAACACAACTACCCCACAAAAAAAAATCTCAAAAAACCCCAAAAACAAAAACCCACCACCAACAAAAAAGAATTCTCTAAAATAAAATCCATGTACTTTTTGCTTACACCTCCCACCCTGCTGCAGGGCACTTTCAAAAAGGGGAGTAAGCAGCTCTGATGTTTAGGATGAATCTGCAGAGGACAGGAGTTAATTCCCACCTCCCTTGTGTGCAGAACATTCATCCACAGGTTCTTCTCCTCTTGCCTGTGCTTGATTGTGCAGCACCCAGGACTGGCTCCTGCAAGTAGTGGGCTGGCAGGTCTGACATGTTCAGCTACAGCAAATCCCTCCCAATTACTCTGCATGGTTTGGATTTGTTTTGAGAAGCAGAGAGGGATAGAGTTTGCCTGGTGGGAATGCCATGATACCTGTGCTCAGAGAAAAGCTGTTACTGCTTAAGGCATATCCTCTGCTCCAGGGTTTTACTCATCAGTTCTGCTTCCTGCAAGCTTAAGTTATCAGTAATTCAAAGGTTTGGGTTTTCTTGGGATTTTTTTATTTGTGTGTTGGAGGAAAAACAAGGAAAATGTTCCTGTCCCCTCAAATTAAAGGAGGAAAAAGCAGTGACCTTAACTACTGGAAATCCACATTAATAGACTTGACACCTTAGATCATCTTAGAGCTGTTCTTCAGCTTGCTAATGATGCACAGCAGCATAATTAGCATTAATATTGCAGTTCCTACATTCTGAGGGTGCCTTGCCAGAGGGGCTGCATCCCAACCCTTCTGTGTTCATGGCAGTGACCCGTCCTGACGAGCACAGGGCTTTCACTCAAGTCTTGCAGCCCTGATCCTGACTTTTTGTTCCAATTTAGGCACCTTGAGCTGCTCATGCTGTGCAGGGGGCTCGTGCACAGACCCTAGTGCCTGCAGCTCCTGCCCACCAGGCCACTACCAGCCCCAAAGTGGGCAATCATCCTGCCTGCCCTGCCCACAGGGGTCTTACACCAGGTAAGTGACTGAGCCCGTGGCATGGTGGGAGGTGGATGCTATTCCTCAAAACACTTCCCAGCTGGCTAAATCTCCTTCTTTGGGCTATAGGAAGAGTGCTGCAAGGGTTGTTTCTCATAGGCTAAATTCTCCTCATCAGGAAACCTTGGTGTGGATATCCTGGTGCTGAGGGCTGCCCAGTGGCTACTCCATCCCTCTGCAGGCTACCCTTTTATACCCTCATGGTCTTTTGTGTGTACTAGGGGGGAACAAGTCTGTGTTGTGATGAGGGGACACTTGGGAATGAGGTCTGGCTTCATCTTCTCATCTTTTCTCTAGGATATCTCTGGCCAATGGGCTCCATCTCTGTGCTTTGCTTGAGTATTTTCTCAATCCCTGTTTTCTTGCCCCCAAGGGATCTCATTACATTTAAGTTGCTGGCATCTAAAGCAATATCCTCAGCTGACAGGGTGTGGAAAAGCTGACAAGACATCCCAGACAGAAACTCTGCCTTGCAGTCTCACCAGGCTGCCTCATCCACTTGTGCATCATGCTGTACAAGTCCTCTGGCTGCAGGGACATGTGGATGTGCTGCTCTCCCCATTTTCCATCAGGTTTTCCCTTGTCTGCAACCAGTGGGTTCTGTCCCTCAGGTGGTTGCAAGGACAGAAGGGGTGGTCAGAGCTTCCTAGGACAGTGTCCATCACAGAGCAGCTCCATTTGGATCAGTCCTGGGGAGGGGGAACAAAATCTGCAGGGAAGAGTGACCCAACTGTGCAGTTTGTTTGCAGCAGCCCCTGAATTTGGGGTGCCAGCATCCTCCCCCTTCTTGCAGTTTGTGCTGTGAGGACCTACCTTAAAACTTTACACCCAAATTGCTTTAAAAAACCAACCAGGAGCAGTCCCCAGGGCACCACACAGCTGCTGCTGTCGGGATGTGGGAGAGGGCAACACGGAGCCAGGGACCAGAGAGGGTCGGTGAGTGGTGTTGGGTCTGTGTGTGCCAGAGCAGGGACATGGATATGGGGGATATGGAGACTGGGGGTTCTGGGGGGTGCAGTGTGTGCATGGCCATCTCTGTGGCAGCTGTCTGGGCCTTGGGGCTGCGATGGGATCATTTCACATTTTTGTGGTATTTGGAGAATCCAGCCTCCCCGGAGCCTTGAGCGGCTCTGGCTGCCACGGGCCCTGTGTTGGTTTGTTTTAAGCAAAGCATTTGCTCTGTTTCCAACTGATTTTTGTTTTGTTTTGTTTTGTTTTTTTCCTGCAAATCTCGGTCAGTCTGGGGGTTTCTGAAGGAATTAAAGAGCACATCCTTGTTTTCCTCCAAAGCATCCCTGAGAATGTTAACAAATTCTTATACCCCCATGCTTGTTGAGGGGGGTTTGGCTCTGTCAGTGATGAATGTAATAGCTTCCTCTTTCCCTCATTTCCTTCCCTCCTCCTAGAGGTCTAACATATTGCATCCCCTTTCCTACAGTCCCTGTTATTTGAGGTCAGGGCTCTCTCACACGTCACTGCCTGTGGTTTAGCTTCTGATTTCCGACAATGGAGCAACTCTTCTTGAAATGGCTGATGGATGCTGAACAGCAAACACCTTTCCAATTCAATTTAATATTCAAATGTGGATTTAAGAGTCTGACTATAAACCAAGGGTTTTTTAAGCCTGGCCACAATGTATTCTTCAAGACCTTCAATTCAGGCCTTCCCTTTCCACGTAGCTCACAGGCACAGGGCATCTCTAATGTTAATAATACAGGAATATTTTTTTTTCAGCGGACCTTTAACATTCAGGCCAGTTCACAATAATGTTTTTCTACCTGAATTCCTGCTTTATAATGACTCTATTTCTAGACTTGTCAGTGTTGTGCTCTGCTCTCTCCTCTCCAAGCAGATAGAGGCTCGGGTGACCTAAAATAGCATTCCCCTCTGCTCCCTTCTCTCCCAGCTTCCCAAGGAGCACCATGTGCCTTCCCTGCCCTCCTGGCCATTTTGCTGATGAGTCTGGGGCTGCAGCCTGCAGAGCATGTGAGCAAGGTAGGCTTTGGTCTGTATTCAACCCAAATGCATTTTCATCAGGCTACCTGATGCTTTTTCCCAGGGCCAGATGCAATTACCAGGTAACTTAAAAGCACCGAAGGGTAAACAGGTTATTTTGTTCAGGCTAAAAATAACACAGCAGATCCCTTCCCATTCTGCTATTGACATTTTTATGAAAATGAAAAGAACAGAGCTTGGAGTCAAGCTTGTGTTTCCAACAAGCTAATGCTAACACTGCAGTGAAAATCAGGAAAGGAGGTTTATGAAATTCAGTTATAGCACAAGGGGGAGGGGTGTGTCAGGAAAATAAAGTATTCCTTCATTTTTAATGGCAAAGATGAGTCTAAATCATCTTTGCTTTCACTTAGGCAATCTTCTGCAGCCTGAGTATTAAGTGTAATGCTCTCCTTATTCCCCAGGTGTTAAAACTGGAGTTTCAGTGAGGTGCTTTGCACCTGGGTGATGCCACACGAGCCTGGTACAATGTGTTTGCAGATGAGGTAACAGCGTGTGCAGAACAGAACAGCATTTACTTATGCCTAATTAACACATGCAGTGCAACAGCTATTCTGCACTAGAATGGGGTGCTGCTCGAACATGCACAGCTGTTCTTTGGAAAATCCTCCCACTGAACCACTGGGTTGGTACCTAAACCTTGGCTGTCACTTGCTAATTTCAGGAGGAACAAAGTCTGGCTGGTGACAGCAAGGAGGTCTGTTGCTCCCTTTACTCAGCAGATTTGAACACTGTGTTAGGTCACAAGGGAGTCTGTGGGGGTGGCCCCTAAATCCTGCAATTATAAATGTAAAAATATCCTTTTTCCCTGCAGGGAGAGGGAGGTGGGTTTGGTTTGATCCTCTCTGCTGCAGCCCCTGCTGTTTGGTGCAAATCTGTGTGGATTTGAGGCAGATCTTACCCACACTGCTTTCAGCTCCTCTCTGAACGTTAGTTTTGTCCAATGTGGCCCCACGGCCGTGATAATTTTTGTGCATCATCAGGTTCCTTCCCAAAACCTCCTGAATTCCCAGGTGCTGTTCTCCTGGCTTTCCTGCTGGTGTGGCAGGACTCACAACTGGGGTCCTGCCAGCCCCTGCCCACACCATGGCCACTTTGGGGCACTTCACTCCTTGTTGTGCCTTGGGAAGGGTCAGTATGTGTCCTCCTGCCCATGAGGGTCCTCATGGTGCAGGGAAGGAGGGGGAGTGAGTAGCTAATTCCTGCACCAGCAGAGCCATCCTGGTTGGTGGGTCTTGTGTCCTTCCCCTTGGGGGCAACGAGATGCACCCCAGACTTCCTGGGATGAGGGAACTCCTGGAAGGGCTGGGGTGACCAGAGGGATTTCCTCAGGTCAGAGGCTTGCTCCAGCTGAAGAACCCAGGAGATGGCACTGGGATTACCTATTCCAGCTTCATTCCAGTTCAACCTGTGGTGCTGGGAAGGGTGACAGATCTCTCTGTTTCCCTGGTGAGGTTTTGGATGTGAGAGTGACACCAGGGCAATCTGCCTGATCCCTCCATGCATCCCTCAGTGTGGAAGAGGGCAGTAGGGAACTTCTGTTGCTCTTTCAGAGCTTTTGACAAATAGAACCCCAAATATCCTGAAATAGCCCATGAAATGCCACCTGAAGCATGTTATGGGGATTTATTTTGTTGCTTGTAAAACGAAGATGAGCAAATACACAACAATGTGTGGCAGTGATGTGGAGGCAAGACCCTGAAGCCTTACTTTACTCTTTTTCAGGTTATTTTAGCTCCAAGCAAAACTCATCTTTTTGTCTTCCTTGCCTGCCGGGATCATTTTGCAAGTAAGAAGCCTCCTGGGACACTGGCTCTCAGGCAGACAGGGAGAGGGGTGTTTCTTTTGGCCACTGAGCTGCAACCACCAGTGCAGTGGCCAAAGACAAGTCATCTGCCACTTCAGCTGTGGAGATGTTAGTGCTGACCCTGGTGAGAGAGGGATGGTACAATGAGGGGAGGATCCTGGCTGGATGCAGAGGTCCTCTGGGATGAGGTGGCAGAGAATCAGCTCACAACCTGCCTTCCCCATTCCCACTTTCCATCATCACTGCGTTTCATGGGCACTGCACACCCCTGGGATCAGACTGATACTGGCACAGAGATGGAGCTGAGAGTTGCTCTGGGCTTTACAGGTCAAAACTGAGCCGGTAGTTTGTTTATCCTGAATCAGGGTGAGCAGAAGGCAGTGGAAAAAGTACCCTTGCTGAGCTGTCACCCTGGGGTGGGAGGGAAAACCTGAAGGAGGTCCTGGCAGGTACCTCATGATGGGCCTTGACCTACTGCGTAGGGATGCCTGCACAGGGGTTGGGGTGTTTATGTCCAAAGCAGGAGAACTGGCATATGGATACTTACCTTCCTTCTGATTTCCCTTGAGCTCATTTGTCCTATGTTATGCAGCAGATCTCTGCTGAACCCTGCTTAAATTGCTATGGGACTTAACCCAGGGCTTAACCAGCTGTATTGCAGGTCTAGCCAAGTTCTAACCAGTTCCAGCCAAGGAATGCCAGATAAGGCAAAGTGACTTCTGGGTAGCAAGTTCTTACAGGTTTCATTCAAATAAGCAGTCAGAGAAGACAGAAATGCCATCATGTGCCCAGCCCTAGTTAGACATGTGTCCAAGGCCAGGCTGGATGGGGCTTTGAGCAACCTGGTCTAGTGGGAGGTGTTCCAGTTGGCATTAGATAATCTTTAAGGTCCCTTCCAACCCAGACCATTCTAGGAATCTATGGTTGCATGCAAGGAACTGCACTGGAGACAGACACTGTGGATGCCCATAAAATGGGAAAAGCTTAGTTCCCAGTAGACCCTGAAGAGTCCAGTCTATACATACATAAGAGCTGGCTTTTGTGGGCTGGGCTGGCCTTGGAAGTGCTTGTCCTACAGCATGTCCTGCCTCCTCTCCCCTCCCAGCACCACCAGCTGCACGGCCTGTCTGCCTTGTCCTGGGGGGCAAGAGGCTCCTCGGGAGGCGTCGGAGGACTGTGTGCCCTGCCAGCCAGGTAACTCTGCAGGGAGGGTGGGGCTGGGCTATCCTGTCTGGGAACACATGGCTTCACTGCCAGTGGAAGTGGCTTATTCCCGAGACTCCTCCCATTGGACCTGGAGGCTGTGCCTCCCTGCCCTGGCTGGCGGCTGCAGAGCAAAGCAGTGAGGGCTGGTGCTGGGGCGTTTGACTTGCTGGTGGAGGCTCTGCCTGTGCCAGACCTTCCTGCCGAGGTTAATGGCTTGGAGGGAGGGCTGGACCCTGGCACGCCAGGGCACCCAAAGCCAGGCTGGATACATAGTTCTGGCTAAAAAGCATCTTCATCAGTGGTGGTGGCTTTGCTGAGGAAAGCACAGAAGGGGGGATGCTCTGCACTGGCAGCAGCCTGGGGCAAAGGGGACAGTCAGAGAGGGGATGTGAGGACACGGCCCTGCGGGAGGGCAGAGCGCTCTGGGCACCCCCAGTGGCCATGGCCAGCCTCCACTCTGGACACAGCACCAGGGGTTTCTTGTAACCAAGTTTTAAACGTGCAGAAAACCATTTACCGCTTTGAGACTTGGAACCTCTGTGACCCGTCGTTCCCACAAAGCTTAGGAAACCAAGCTGTGCTTTGAACTGTGCTCAGCAAGTTTCAAACAGCTGGAAGAGATGTTTGAATCCAGAACTGGAGTGGATGAAACACTGGTGACCTCCAGCTCCAACCTCCCATCTGCTTTAAAGCCAGAGCTCACAACTAAATCCTTCCCCCACCTACTCCTACTCACACCTACTCTTTGCCAAGGTCTGACCCCAGATATTCTTTAGTCCCTCTGTCCCTGTTTGTTCTGTTCTGCCCCTTTGCCACCGACCCAGGACCAAAGGCCAGGCTCAGTTTTTGTTATGCACATAAGTCTTTAATGCTCTTTCTCCTTGTGGCTTTGAAAACTAAATCATCCATATGCAATTGCAAAGGTCCTGGGGTCTAGTCCCAGATCTTAATTTTGCGCTTATTTGCTCTTTAGGTACATTCAAAGGTCCAAATGACAGCAGGTGCAAGGTCTGCAGGACAGGAGAGTACCAATTACAGCGGGGCAAGGAGAGCTGTGACCTGTGCCCAGAGAATCATTACTGCCCTGTGAGTCCCCATCAGCTGGTGGAATAGCCTGGGTTAACAACAGAGCTGTCCCATGACAAACCAAATACACTTAAATTAACTTTTTTTTCTTTTTTAATCTGAGCTTCTTTCCTTTTTTTAAACGGAAAGAGCCCTGATGGAGGGAGATGGTTAAAATTATGACACCAGGAGGGTGGTTTTTTGCTACCCCTGGAGCTGCCCACTCTCCCTGGGCCATCAGGGGATGGTGTGTCCATTAATGAGGGGGTTGATGTATGGACTTGCTGCGTAATGACACCTTCTGCTCTTCCCCTACTCTAACACCACAGGGGCAGACAGGCTGAATTTAATGACAGCAGGTTCATTTTTTGGTTATTTTTCTTCTGGATTTTCCTTTTCAATGCTACAGTGTCACCTCCCTTTGCACTAGTTACCTTCTGCAGTTTGCTGGTGCTGAGTTACTTCTTCTCTTGGGCAGAGCCCAGATGTGAACCCGGTCAAGTGCCCTCCTGATGCCTTCTGCCCCCGGGGCAGCACAGAGCCCACCTACTGCATGGAGCTCTTCCTATACAAGGCAGGGGACTCCTGCCAGCTGACCCCTGTGATGATTGTTCTCCTGGCCACCTTCTCTGCAGGTGAGCATCAGTCTTCTCTGTCCTGTGGTAAAACTAGACACCCCTCTGCAGCTGACCACCTTTCTGTTAAACCAAGTATTCTCTGGATGGTGTATTTCATGTTTCTGGGAATCTGGATTGCTAATGAAGGTCTTTCTGGCTGCTTTCAAGGCCAGTGATAATCCTTTCCCTGTTGATATGTGTTAACAGCTGTACTTTTTCTGGAGTAAGGCTGAATGCTTGTTGTCTGTCCCTGGGAAGCAGGTGTGCATATGGACCCCACATCGGGAATTTCTTGACTGCCCAAAAGTAGGAAATAAGGCCAATTTCCTTTTGGTATGAGACTTTGCTTCCTGAAAGCATTTCTGCCTTAACTTCTGCCACAGCATCCAGCAGGACTGGGGGCTGCCAGCTCGTGCACTGTTGCTTGTATTGATGCCATAGTGCACCTTGTAACCAGCAGATGAGACAGCCAGCACCTGCTGAGTGTGGGGAGCATCCCTCTTCCCAAGTGCCACCTGCTGGAATTAGCTCACTAGGGCAAGCCAATGCATGGATGAGCTTTTCTGCTGGGAAGCTGCACCATGAACAATCATTCCAAGACAATGTATTTGCATTTGTAGTCTTAGCAAAGGGAAAAATAGAGTTCTGCTGGTTTTAATCAATGTTGAGGGGAGGTTTAATTGGAGAGTCATGATGAAAATGGGCAACTATTACTGCTATGGATTGCAAAAAGGGCAGGTGAGGAAGCTGGGAAGAGGGATTTGTCTCCTGTGCCCTGGCAAATGAAAAGAAATTCTTAAGTGTCACTTAACGCTACCAGAGAAAAAAGTCTTGTGTCAAGAGAGCTAAGTCACAGAGATGACTAAGCCATCAGAGGATAAGGAATATCCAATAACCCTCATATCCATGGCTTTCTGTGTTTCAAGTGTGTGTTATGTACCTCCTGAAGACCCATTCTCCACTCAGCTCACTGTTGTTAAAAGGCAGGGGGAGATAAAATAGATGTGCTGTTCCCCACAGTGAGCAAAGCTCCTTCTCCAACAATAAAGCAGCGAAAGTCCCCATCAAGCTCCTCTCCTGGTGGCTGAGGAGAGGACTCCATGGATACATAGAGGAGACAAGGACAGCAGGGTCTGGAGAAGCTCTAACAGCACTGGCTGACTGCTTGTCTCCCAAGAGCTGAAATGCCTGGTGGGAGCAGATGAGGGTTGTTCTCACAGGCTGTGGCTCGGAGCCATGTGAAAGCTCCTCCACTGACCCCTATCCCCCTCATGCCAGGCTGTAGTCCAAAAATCTGCCAGATGCCATTTGAAGCGAATATTAATTTGAAAAAGTAGATTAAAATGAAGTGTATGAAAAGCCCGTCCACAGAGGCCCACAATGGCCCATTAACCAGCATTTCTGATAAACAAGTCCGAGGGTGAGAGAACAGCATTCCCCGGTGCAGTCCCGCCTCTCCCAGAGCTTGCTACAAGGAGGGGGAAAGGAAACAGCCCACACAGGAAAACACGAGTATTTCATGGCTGGTCTCACAGATCAAGTGTTTAGCATGAGACTGTCTGCTCATGCAGCCTAAATTTGGGCATATTTGTCTGGCCATATTGCATCACAGCGACAGATCTGTGCTCTTCTGTTCAGATCAATTTTCTCTGATGATGCTTCTGCCAGAAACAAACGAACAGAATGTCGCAGTACTTGAGATTTGCCAATTATTTCCATGTCTATGCCCAATCTAAAAGTAATTTTTCCTGACAGCCCTGATGATCTCAGTCTAGACTCAAAAGTTAATCTAGGTTAGTTACTTCTTGTGCCTCAGTGTGAGCGCTGCTCAGAGCAAACTAATTTCTCAACAAGAGTCTTTGGTGGGATCTGCAGTGGATAGGATGCCAAGTAGAAAAGAACAGTTCCATGGAGCAGAAAGCTAATGGGAGTAGGAAAGCAAGTTACTGAAGTATTTCATTAAACCCTGCCATTATTCCCTGCAGCTTCCAGAGCAAAGCTGAAATGCCGGAGTATTTATTATTATTGCCAGACAAACCTCTTTTTGGTGGTTTATTTTGAGGGTTTTTTTGGGGGGGTATGGGAGAGGCAGAGTACGTAGGAGAAAAAAACCCTTATGTTACTGGAAGAGAATATCTGGGTTGGGAAGCCTCAGAGCAAACATCACCTGGTGCTTTCTTTACCTTCCCATCTGAGAATGACTACCATTCCTCTCTTTCCAGGTGGAATCTTTGTTATCTTTCTAATAATTCTGAGAAGGCGGCAAGACTCTGGCAGGAAATCACTGAAGTCTCTGTTGCTGCCCCGAGGCTCAGGACGACACTCGACTTATGGGGGCATGGAGCACACAGAACCAGTCTATGCTGGATGGTAGCACAGGACAGGCCACCAGCAGGCACCTGCCTCTCCTTTGCCTGGGGCAAAACAGATGTGTGTGTGTGCATGGGCAAGGTGTTTAACCACAAGCAACTTATTTCTGTATAGGCAAAATAAGTGCTGAGAAATAAAACTCAGTTTTTGAGTTGTGGCTGCTTGTGCGAACCAACCCAGCTGCCTGCTCTGCCACACTGGCCTGATGTGTTCCCCTTTCAATTCCTGGCTTCATTCACAAGTAAATACTTTTCTCCTTTCCCAGGGGGAAAAAAACCCAAACAGAAGCAAACAATTACGTCTCTCTCTCCATTTCAATAGTCATCTCAACAGAGGGAGGACTGACCACTCCAGCTATTGAAGTTCCTGTGACACAACACTCCCTTCCACCCGAGCATGAATTAACATGAATGTGCTTCTTTTTACTAATATGTCATTTGTATTTTTTTTCTCATTATCAAATGGGTATGTCAAGGGAAGGAAAAAGCTTTCCCTTTTCTCTCAGCTGTGAGCAAATGTGCAACTAAAATAACGGTTGATTTTGGGACAAATACATCTCTTTTGTTTCCTGCTGTAAGGTGGTCCTTCATACTAGAACTACAAAAGCAACTCAAAGGGAGCAGCATGGTGCAGGCACAGAAAATGCCTTGCAGATTTTTGCATGCTGAGGAGATGGGCCTTTATGAGACCCATTCCCTAAATGCCCATGCAAAGTTCCTTCCCTGGTCCTGGACACTTGATTCATCCCCCACCCATGAGAGCAGCAGGTCTGGTTTCTACCTGTTTGCTCTACCACTCCAAGCCTTCTCCTGTGCACCCAGCCCAGTTTAACCATCTTGTTAAACTGATGTGATTTGTGTTTTACAGGGATGATTTCAAAGTGTGTAGTTGGGTGACTCTTCTCTTTTTAAACTTGCTTTTGCTGTATTTTCCCTACTGTGCTTTTTCTCTCAGTGATATGTGGTCAGTGCCCCAGGCACTCAGAAATGCCATTGACTGTACTGGAGTCAGGTTCAACTGCTCCATGAAACCAGTACCTGGGGCCTCTTAACCTTCCCACCTTCCTTTTCCTCCTATAGTGATGTGCACACACGTGCTGTGTAAGCCCAGACAGACCAGCCAGCTGTGACCCTTCGTGTCAGGGCTGTGCTTCACCAGCTCTGTGAGTGCTTGTAAAAATAGTACCTACTATGAAAAGATCCACGCTTTCAAATGACTCTGCACTGAGGTGGGAGCAGGTGGTACTTCTACTTCAGTCTTGCACTAATGGGCCCCTGGAGCAGCTCAGTCGGCTGAATAACCCAGCTGTGGGGGGTTAAGTGGTTCCTGCCCTCAGCTGCTCATCCTCTCCCCAGGGGAGGTGTTAGTGTGTTTCAAAAAATATATAAAATATATCAGTGCTCTGATCTCTCTCAGCTATGTCAGATGAATAAATGGATGGCAAGAGAGGTACATCTGCCATTGGAGACAGACAGGTTGCCCAGAGAAACTGTGGATGCCTCATCCCGGGCAGTGTTCAAGGCCAGGTTGGATGGGAATTTGAGCAACCTGATCTAGTGGAAGGTGTTCCTGCCCGTGGCCGGGGGGTTGGAACTGGATGGTCTTTAAGGTCACTTCCAACCCAAACCATTCTGTGATTCTAATCTGGATCAGCAGCAACACAGGTGGTCCCTACAACCCTCCCCAAACCCCAGCACAGGCACAGGTCCCTGCAGTCTCCCTGCAGTCTCCCTCACGCTGTTGATTTAGGAGACAGACATGAAGTTTCTCAACTGGCAAAAGGCTGTGGTTTTTCCAGGGAGCAGCAAAGGGACACAATCCTGATGCACAGCACTAGCTGAGCTCAGCAGAACAGTAAGCCACTAGTATCAAAGCAGTTCTCTGAAACGCTTTTTAAAAAAATGTAGCTGCTGTCAGACATAGGAGACTCTACACATGAAGCCAAACCAGACCCTCCTTCCCCCACAAAAAAACCCCAACCTGTCTGAACAAGCAAAACAGTCAAATTCAGACCTGGGCAAGCAGGACCAGCACCTGTGACAGCAAAAGGAACCCGAGGGAATGGCGCTGCTCGGGCTGAGTAGCTCCAGCTCAGTGTCACTACAGCATGTAAAATTATGAGCACAGCACTCTCACAGGAAAAACTGGACTGCAAAAAATGTCAGTATTTTTGTGATAAGAGAGGCTGTGAAAACAAGCCAGAGCACAATCATTATCACCTCCATGTAAGCATACAACAGTATTTCCACGGCGTCTCTTAGGAAGTCCTGGAGTGTAAGTTTTCCCTGTGGAAGAACAAAACCCCATTCCCTTGCTGTCAAACCATGCTTGCCTAGTACGTATCATTTTTCTTTAAAGAAAAAAATTGGTGCAAAAATAAGTATATAGAGCTGTTTTATAAAAAAGACTTAGCAACTTCTTAAATAACTAGGAATGAAATTCAATATTTAATAAGACATTGAAGTTTCTCAAGCAGTCAGACATGGAATAATATGACTCAACAATGTGGAAAAATCCCATTAATACGTCTTTCAAGATATTTTGCTTTTCCAAGTAATTCAAATTAAAGAAAAAAAGAAAACCTAAACCTGACCATGAACACAAAGCTACTGAACAAAACAGACATTTGATTATTCTTCCTAGAGTGTATGAAAATACATCTAACATATTCAACTGAAAACTGTTCCCATTCTTGCTCATGTGATAAGAGAACAACAAATTCTGAAATTGGCTGTCATGTATCAGCTTTTGGCTGGAAAAGGAAAGACATTTTGCTACTTTGATGGGCAAAACACAGAGAACATAATTTAAGGCCACATAATTTGCCACACTTAGATTTTGTTTAGATGAATTTATAACGGAAAAGCTTTTAAGTTGCTGAATGCTAGGAAGTATTGAGTTGCATCATGAGAAAGCTCAATTTTTGAAGACTGTTTTACCTCTTATTTGAACAGTGGGTGTCTTAGTTACAGTGACTGGGACCAGTTTATCACCATGTGGGTATAACCAAAACTGTGTATCCTACACCCTCTATGTCATTTCTGATGGACTGGTAATGATGGATCATTTGCAGCAGCTGCCCAGGGCACACCTGACACCTGAACCTACAAGCTGGGTGTTAAAGAACTCCACAAGGAGTGTTTCTTTGTCTTCACACCAAAGACTCAGCTGCGATAACTCTCCTCCGGGGAGGCATTAGCACCTTCACACCCAGCCTGAGGGGTCATCTCTGTCCCGGGGACTGGGTTATACATCTGTCTTTGGGGGCTAAAACCAGTTTTTCTCTGTATCATTGCATCTATTGTAATAGTTTTTTGTAAACTGTAACTTTTGTACAATTTTTTTGTACAATTTTTTTTGTACAATTGTAATTTTTGTATAATTTGTAATTTTTGTACAAATTTACAATTTACAAATTGTAACTTACAATTTGTAATTTTTGTACAATTTTTTTTGTACAATTTTTTTTTGTACAATTGTAATTTTTGTACAACTGTACGATTTTGTAAATTGTAAATTGTAACTTACAATCTCTCTGGAGTTGGATTCATTTCTCTGGCTGGTTTACTTTTAAACCAGCACAGTGGGAGAAGGAAAACAGCGGAACAACTTTTCTTTTGCCCTCTTTTTTAAACAAAACTTCGGCCTGTTTTCCCAGGCTGCAGAGCAGGGTACAGAAGCCTTCATTCAAACACACCTAAACACCACCTTTCTTGACTCAGAAACTAAAACTCCCAGACTGCCACATGAGTGACTGAGCTGAGCTGGGCAGTACGTACTGAGGGGGAATATGATCCACATTTCTTTTAAAGATAAGTCTAAAGGATGTGCCCAGCAGAAGGAATGAATCGCTGGGAACTCAAAAGGGAACTCCTGGTTTGCAGTCTCAGTGATGCAAAGCTCCATTGGCCCCGAGAGTTGAGTAGTAAAGAGCAGGGAAGAGGTAGAAGGAGGCGGGAAGTGGAGCAGCCGCTCCCTCAGATCTGTTTGTGTGAATGTAAGGAGGGCTCGGAGGGGTCGCTTTGGACACCCAAGTCCTTATGTCCCCACAGACAGACACAAAGGGGTGGCTTGTCCTGCATCCTGCTGTGATAAATGTGCTTGTGACCCCACTGGAGAGGCAGGCAGGGAGCTGCAGGCTCCATACCTGATCCCAAACCGGAGGGTGTTACTGCAGCAGTGCCCGTCAGTAAGGGTTTGAGACAGTGGCTTCTGCCTCTCAAGGCCCGGGGCATCACTGTTCCAGAGTGCCAGAGCTGTTACACCTACACATGAAGAGGAAAAAGCAACACACCAACTAAAAGAAATTAACAAATTATAAAAGCAATGGAATGTAAAGGTAAAATTTTTATAATAACTTATTTAAAGGTATTCTTACAAAGCCTTCCTTACACGGTTTAGTATTCAAAGAACGGTCCCAATGACATCAAATTCCTTCATTTTGTTTAAAAGCAATGAGGAAAATATTTCTGCTTTACTACCTGACCTCGTTTTCCTCCCCGCAAACCCCCATATCAGAGAAACATCCATAGTACCATCTTTTGGTTTTGATTTTAGGCACAGGACTGTTCTTCAGTCCCATGGCAGAAAGTTTCCCTCAAAACCAATTAAGGAATCTTGAATTTTAGCTCGAATGCAAGGCTTGGCATACCATTTCAAGAAATGCAAACATGTAACACTTCCCCTGATTTTGACCTGTGCTATTTCTTCAAAATTATTTGAAAAAAATTAACCTTCCAACAGTGTTTATAAAAACTGATTCAAAGAACAAAGCAGTTTGGTCACAAAACAGGAACAAAAGAGTTCAGGATACGGCAATGCAACATTTAAAACCTCTTTCAATTAATACCTTCTAATAAAACCAAAGTTTTTACGTGTTGGGAATAAACGGGGATTTTAATAATTCAAAAAAACTATATCTGCAATCAAATCCTGAAGAAATACCTTGGGAAAAAACCATACACTTTCATGATATAGCAAGGCATCATTTTCAAAAGGGCTACACAGAGTTTTTGCACTATTAAAGGCAAACTAAGCTAGAACATACACAAATGACTAAATGGACGTGGTGTTTACAGAGGGTAGATGACAATGGCACAAGTCAGAATGTGCTTGTAATGCTGCCTAATCACGGGGCCAAGGACATGCACTGGGAAGAAAACTGCCAGGTGTTTTTCTTTACCGTTTTTTCCTAGTTCTAATATTTCCATCAATGCTAAATCTCGTATATTCATCTCACTGTGAGAACCCAACGCTGATGAGAGCAAAGGATTCAAAACAGCTTTGCTGACACAACACAGTGGTGATGAGATAGTCAAGAGCAGAGCTTGTACAATTGTAACAAATAATTTCAGTCTGTGAAGTCAAGTAGCCAGTTACAAACTTTATTGAAAGGAACAGACAGTCTAAATTTTGTATTAAAGTACTCCTTACGTACTCCTTCAAAAATCTGTTTCGCTTTTACTTAGTTGTTTTGAATTTAGTTTTTGCACT